AGATTCTCGTCATTGCATTTTGTACATGTAAATACATAACATTGTAATAAAATTAATTTTATAAAATATATACTCATACCTTCCCGTATCTGTCTAGTATTGACTGTGTACACTCAGTATATATCGACTCTGTATCTAATACACATAAGGAGAGAGTAAAATTGACCTGCGCAGGCTCACTCACCGAGTAACAGACCATCCAAATCAAAAATGACATGTGTGATGGTAGCCATTTTACTAGCAAACAGGGGCGTGTCTAGCATTGGGGCGTGGCATAATAAAATGTCTACCGACTCTGAAGACAAATTCGAGTTCACTCTGGTAACTCATTATAATCCTCTTCAAGATATAGAGACCAAATTCAGAGAGACAATAGAATTATTTGAGAAATGGTATTTTGTGATAATTTATTTTTTGTTATCATTGTCATTATAGGGGGATGAGTACTAGTCGTATGAAAAGTCACACCTTCTTTTTTAACAAGTTTTTCCAACCTTATCAGAGAGAGGCATTTGCAAAAGTTAGCAACAGCAAGGAAAATGTAATAATTGTAAATTAATTTTTTTACAGGATTTTTTTGCAAGCTCAGTAGTAAGCAGCACATTACAAGTACGTACATGTACATATTATCATTATACATGTACATGTAGATTGAATAGCTATGTATTTGTATATGACCACATATATATGACTGTATGTAAGTACTGTATAGCCTGTACTACATGTATGTGTGTTTGATTGCCTGGTTGAGTTATTATTTCAAATGTAGCAGAAAGTTAGAAAAATACCCTTGTGTGTGTGTGTGGATGGATGGGCTTAATTTTCTATTACTGTTATCATTTTTAACCTATTGATTGTTGATTGACTACGCACTATTTGTGTATGTACAGTGTACATGTACTTATGTTACATCAATAGGTATTAACACCATTAGAGCAATGGGTATCACTGTGAGTCATATTTTAGTCACATGACAATCACATGACCTTATTATACACCGACACATCAGTGGATAAAGTTACTGTTGAACAAGTCAATGCAAGTATAATTAATATGGACTTCTTTGATAGACTATATACGTTATGTCATAATGATGTCATATTTATTACCATATAAGGTGCTGTGAGAGAGAGCAGTGGTAGCATTGTCAAGTGTTTTGATGAGATGATTGACGAGTTTTTGGTCTCTGATGAACTCAGAAAAGTTAGTAAGTTTAAATTAAGAAACAGTTTCAGTTCACACCTAATGTCATGTACACGTACATGCATTATGATTTCTTGCATGTACATTTCAGGTGATCCAGTGTATGTGTCTTTATATTCAACTGAAGAAAGAAACGAGTTTCTGTTTAAAATATTTACCCACATTGTACTAGGAGGACCAGTCAACCAGGTGAGCATCTACATTCTATACTGTTTTAGTCTGCTTATTATTGTATTGCCATCATACAGTAGAGGATTAGGCCTCTCTTCTAGCCACAAATGCATAGGTTGTAGTACTTTTATGCATAGGCTAAAATTTGTGGTGCAAATGAAAATCAGCAATTTACAGCTGAATCACTGTAAAACCATATAGCGGGAAATTTTGGAGATAATTAAATTTGGTGAATTTAGCATTTTTTGATAGCCATTCACCAAAATAAAATCCGCCATTTTAAGCCATTATATGCATGCTCAATGGCACGTGG